CAGGCTGGAGTGCAGTGGTATGCTCACAGGCACTGCAGTCTTGACCTGATGGGCTCAGGTAATCCTTCCGCCTCAGCCTTCCAAGTAGCTGGAACCACAGACGTGCACCACCACGTCAGGCTAATTTTTATGATTAATGGTAGAGACAAAGTCTTGCCAAGTTGTCCGCTGGTCTCAAACCCCGGGGCTCAGGCAATCCTCTTGCCTCTGTTTCCCAAAGTGTTGGGATTACAGGCGTGAGCCACCGCACCTGGTGATCTGGGTTTTTAAGAAGTCAATACGGAGGCCATGATTGGGAGAATGGATGGGGGTTGGGAGGGTTAGGCAATGTGAGGCATAGTGAGTAAGGGTGGGCTTTGGGAGACAGCCTCTCACAATAAAGCTAGCTGGTACACAGATGCTGGTGGGCTTCTACAACACTTGCTTAGTGGATGAAGCCTGTACTGCAAGTGAGGAGGCAAGAGTGGAGGACCCGAACTAAGACAGGGACAGAATTCACAAAATAATGACCGATGGCAAAATGGGTTTACTAGCTGATGTGGGAGGGGAGGGAGAGAGCTGTTAACAGTCCCATTACTCTGGCTCTGTGACACAGGAGGGAGGAAGGAGGGGGCCAGGGGGAATGGTGGTGGCATGGGAGGGGGAAGGGAAGGAGAGAAAGGGGGCATATGGAGGGAGCAGGATCTCCAGGAAAACAAGAAGGTCTCGTTGTTCTGTGAGTGCGGGAGGTGCCAACACTGAGCCAAGTTGGCGTTCTGTGGGGGGTAGGGGGCTGTACTTGTGACTTCCCCTGAAGAGGCATTGCTGGACGATGTCTTTCTAACTTGTTTCCTGTGCAGTTGACTTTCCTTCTCCTTCTAAGGCACCCTTCCTCCTCAGCATAGACCTAGAAATAATCTCCAGGATTCTGCCTAAGGCCAATTTATGCAACCTGTGTTTTAATCCACCCCCTTAACCTTCCCCATTGCAGTTTTCCATGGAACTTACTCAGCGTCTTCAGGACTAATCCTGAATTGCTTTGAAGTACAACTGTTTTTTAGTCCATTGTTACAATTCACCTTTGAGGTCATTTCCTGATATTCTACCCAGAAGTGTCAGTGGTTTTCCACAGGCGGAAAGACACAATGACAAAGCGAAAACAAAATTCCTTGCCCTGGCTTTTCTTCATGAGAAAACAGCAATTGCTACTCTTTTCGATGTTTAAAACTTGAAGGACAATCTGAGACCTGTCTCTAAATAGGACTAGGGTTTGAACCAGGCATCAATTTATTCTTGGTGCCATCCATACCATACACAATGTCTGGGCACAGTTAGTGGTTCATAAAGGAACAAAGTGAGGGTAAATGGAGGCCTTCTTCAGGTACAAAAGACTCAGGATACATTCTTTACTGAGGGAGTGGGTGGGGAAGAGAAGGCTGGAAGGTATTCCAATTGAAAAGGAGTCAAATGAGGATGATCAAGAAAAATGAGCCTGTAGATGTCTGGGATAAACAACATCAGCATCACAGGATTGCCTAACATGGTGTTTGTTGACAGTGTAATTTAGTGCCAAGAACTTATGTTCTAGAATTAAGACAATTTTAAGTTCAATTCAATCTCTTTACTAGTTACATAAACTTGGTCAAATCAGTTTTCTGTTGGGACCTCAATCACCTTGCTTCAGAGTGGTGATAACACTTTCCCTGCAAAGGCTCTTACTGTATTTTTAAGATGGAGGGCAGACTTCAGAAGACTGGCAACAAAGCACGACTTTGTTATCAGAGGACATCATTCTACCCACTTACCTATCATCTGTCTATCTATCTGTCTGTCTATCTATCTATCTGTCTATCTATCTATCTATCTACCTACCTATCTCTATCATCCATTCATCCATCTCATATTAGTTTAAGTTTGAGATTACGATTACTATTCTTCTGTGGCAGTATGCCCAGTCCTAGCATGCTGTAAGCACTCAGCACATGTTTAGGGGCTGAAAGGTTACACTGATCTGTGATCTTTCTATAGGAGGTGAATTCTTTCTTTAGTCTTCCCTAATTCCATGAAGGGGACCCCAAAAATCCCAGAATTTATTTATAAAAAATTGCATATTTATTCTTACATGTTTAAACTTCAGTCATCTTCAAAGTATGAAATACACCTATCAAGACACTTTTTCCACTGTTCAAAACAGTTTGAACTTGTCCATTTTGATGCTTTTTAGTGCTTCTGCCTTTTTTTGTTTGTTTTTGCTTTTGTTTCACCTCTTCTACTTTGTCAAAACGTTTCCCTTTAAGGGCTTTTCTCATTGGGGACACAAAAAAAGTCACTCGGGTGAGACTGGGTGAATAGGGAGGGTGGGGCACGAGGGTCTTGTCGTTTGGGGTCAAAAACTGCTGAGCACTCAGGATGGTGTGAGCAGGTGTGCTCATAAATCCCCCATCATGAAATGGGCAGATGCATTGAAAGAATCTCCAAAAAATATTCACAGAAGTCAAACACAGGCTCTGACAACAAAGCTAAGCTGGTACACGGATGCCGATGGACTTCTAGAACACTTACTTAGTAGATAAAGCCTGTACTACAAGCGGCCTGCTCTCCAAAAAGTAATTCTGATTTTTTAGGTTCCCCCCTCATTTGTCACCCTTGTCTGCCCAGTCTTGATTCCTTGATTTATGGAGCACCTACCAAGGTCTAGGCACTGGAAGGGGTGCTAGAGTAGGGAAGGTGAAGGACTTGATAAGCTAGAAGCAACCATGGCTCTCAAGGATGTTAGAGGAAAGGGAAGAAGAACTTGTCGTTTGTTCAACTTTCTACTCATCTTCAACTATGACTCATAAGTGGGGCATTTTGAGTGTGTTTTGACAACACCTGGACAAATATGTAGAAATATTTACAGCCCATAGCCAACCGAATCTAGGATTACTGATTCCACACAGTGGGTCCCTGGCCACAGGCTATGTGAGTGCCATGCTTTGGCATTCTCACTGTTGAGAAAACTGGGATGGAATGACTCTTGTCTTGAATCCCACTAGGATTCTCCCACTTCTGTCTACCTTTCTCTAGTTGAGGTAAATGCCCAGAAATAAGAATTTAAGAAGCACATGGAAAATGGCTCTTTCCTAAACCTTTTGGGAAGCCAACTTACAGCTGAGTAAGCTAGCTTATTCCTACTGAGTGTGGGCTGTACTTCATTTATCTATGTCTATATATAAAGAATGGTTTCAAAAAAATTCTGTGACTCTTTGGTTTAATTGTGAGTCACAGGTTTCCATTTTAGAGTGTGTGTGTGTGTGTGTGTGTGTGTGTGTGTGTGTATCTGTATCAGAAGGAGAACTTTGGGCACAAAGCATGTGTGCAGTTGTAAAAAAAAAAAGTAAGGAAAGTGTATGTAGGCTGGGCACGGTGGCTCACGCCTGTGGCTCCAGTGCTTTGGGAGGCCAAGGTGAGAAGACTGCCTGAGCCCGTGGGCTAGAGACCAGCCTAGGTAACACGGTGAGACTTTGTCTCTACAATAAATCAAAAAATTAGCTGGGTGTGGTGGCACATGCCTGTAGTTCCAGTTACTTGGAAGACTGAGGTAGAAGGATCACCTGAGCCCAGCAGGCTGAGGCTGCTGAGGCTGTGAGCAGCATACTCCAGCCTGGGCGACAAAGTGAGACTGATAAAAAAAAAAAAAGAAATATGTATGTAGAAAGGTTTATTATTTTAATGTAAGGAGTATGTATATGGAGGAGAAAAGTGTGTGTGTGTGTGTGTGTGTGTGTGTGTGTGTGTGTGTGTGCCCGTGCGCACAGTACAGGTGGTGGGCACAACTGCATGAGCAGCTAGCCTCTTAGTGATCCAGACAGTGGAATAAAAGATAAAGTGTTGTAGGAGGTGATTGTTTTCCTTTCAGAGTAGCATACAGGTCTTTGAGGAGCCCTTGACTTTCTCCTTCCTCCTTGTCTTGTTAAAAAGGGATTAGAGTCCAATTAAGCCATTTAATCCCAAGGTAGAAATTCATGTTTAAAAACAAGATTTACAGCTTCCTACAAAAAATACATCAGTGCAAGTTGAGGTTTGTCCTTTCAAGTTGCCACCTGCATGGTCCCAGAGAGTGTTTTCAGCACAATATCCAGTGTGCGGCTCTTCTTAATTACTTTGCCTCCTACCTCTGCTCCTTCATCTTTTAGAGTACCCTTCGACTTAAACAGCCACATGCTGCTAGAAATACTTCAACTTTGGGACTGCCACAACTGCCCCGTGACTTCCTTCTCTAAAGCTGGCGACACAGTGACCAGGGTTAACAACAATAGTGTAGGAGCTAAGGCTCTAAGGCTTTACTAGTACATCAAGGCATCATGATGCTAAGCACTTTGCATACATTATGGTATTAGGTGCTCCATCTGAAAACACCCCGGGCTGGCTTCCGGGTATATGAATTGTGTCACAGCCCACATTCGGTTTAAATGTTGCTGCCATGTTGAAATGCTTAATAATTTTTGTGCAAGGGATTTGCACTTTCATTTTGCATTTTGCATTTAGTCCCACAAATTAAGTATGTGGCCAGTCCTAAGGGCACTCAATAGCCCACAGTTTCATTTTGTGTCTTTCACTTTCTTTCCACATGATGCCTCATACAAGGTCAGAGGATGGGATAGTGAATCTCAAATTGTGATGCCAACACTCTCTGGAAAATGGGTGCCATCACCTCGTTGGAGAGATGCTGTATAAGGGACAAGAACCATGCCATGGCACGTAGCAAGAAAAAGAAAAGTATCTGTGAGAATTTGGACAAGTTGTTTAACCCTACTAAGCCATAGTTTTCTTATTGCAAAATGGGGGTCTAACTCATAGGCTGCTCAAAGATGTAATCAAATCATGTGTATATACCTCTGATAGGTAATACATATGACCTCAGTCATTCTTAGGGCATTCTGGGTGCTTAGCAAATACGCGATGTCAAATTTTGCTTGTGACATGGTGAGAATTACTTGTCCAACTCCAAGCTGGCCTTGTCCCAGGGGTTTCTTCCTTACCTGCCCCACAGAGCCAGGAGGGACATCTGCCTTCTCCAAGTGCTGGGTGATCACAGAGGGGTTGCTGGAGCTGATAAGCACTGGGGTGCTGATCTCCACCATGTGACGCCCCGAAGGAGAGTGGACCATCCGGTTGAGTGTGTTCAAAGCTGTGGTGATGGAAAACTGCCCGGACCCCTTCCTCCTGGACCCTGGGCCCCTCCGAAGGGTGGGCGTGTGGCCTCTGGAGGAGGAGGACACCAGGGACAGGTTTTTTGTGCGGGATGACTGGCGGCCTTTGTTCTTTTCCAGGAGATGTCTTGCGGTGAGGTTTGGCTGGAAAGACAAAAGGTCCAATGAGAAGTTAGCCTTTCCTGATCTCACGTGAGTGGCCAAGTCCTAGTCAGGCTAGTCTAAAGCCAGGTCAGATGCCACCTCTTCAGTCATTGGTTCAGATGACCATGCCTTGGTCAACATAACAATGGCTTCCATCTTTCATCAATATGTCCCATCACTTGTTCTGTCAATACATTCTCACAACTTTTCTGCAAAATAGGCATTTCTCTTTACTTGTGGAGAGGATTCTTCCCCTGCTCGTTTCTCCCTGTCAAACTCCAGGCCCTTACACCTGGTAGACATCTCCCCTCTTTCTTTCATCATCCTGGAGCCCCCATGGGGTTGGCTCCCTGTCCTCCTAGTGCCCTGACAGCCTTTGTGCTTCCCATCATTACATTTTTCACTTCATGTGGCCATCATTTACCTACCTTCACCACTGGTCTGTTGGCGACCTGGGGATGGGTGCCTCCTGCACAGGGTCCTCTCCCGTGCTCCAGAGTGGATGCTCAGGAAGTGAGCAGGGACTCATAAATGGATGGAGTTACTCAAGCTCATGCATTGGGTAAGTGTTTGACCCAGAATGTGGATGCATTTAGGACCCTGAATCCTTGTGCTAAGACTGGTACTACTTCCTTCCAACGCTTCATGGAATCACCGTTCTTCCTTGTTCCATACCTTGTAGTCAGTGATGTGCCGGTCAATCAGCTGGCAAGGTAGGAAGTAAGGAAGGGTGGGAGAAAGGAAGTTAGAGAGGAAGGAAGGCAGGTAAGCAGACAGGAAAGGAAGTTAGGAAGAGGAAAGAAAAGAAGGAAGGAAGCTAGGAAGGAGAAAGAAAAAAGGAAGGAAGGCAGGGAGGGAGGAAGGAAGAAGAAGGAAGAAGGAAGGAAAACTAAGGAAAAAAGTAGGAAGCAAAATACCTGATTTGTAGCCTTTACCAATCTACCAATGGATCAACAACTGCCTAGCAAAGGTCCTTAGAGTGTATCAACCAGCTCTGTGGTCAGTTCCAGCCAGCTTCAGCACACACTGTGTTACTGTCTGCCTTCCCCACTATACTGGCAAATTCCCACAAGGAATCTCTCTTTGAGTCCCCTACCCTCTGAGGGGCCCTGTGGGTTCATCTTCTTTGGCCATCTGAAATGTGTTGACAAAACAAGAGTTTGTGTGAATAACCCTTCAATTTCAGAATGATGACTTAAATTTCCACTGTTATAATTGGCACCGGCTGCCCGCTAGAACCATGTCTCATCCAACTTTAGAAATTCAACTACAGAGGTAAAAGAGAGTTTTTTCATTTAAGAACTTTTTAATGGCAATATGTAGAGGATTAAAAAAGCTGAGATAGAACATGTTTTCAAAAGATGTAGTTCTTGCCTCAAGAAGCTTGTAATATTGTAAAAAACGTATCAAGTAGGAGAATGGGCATTCCTATGTCCATCTTACAGATAAGAAAGCTGAGGCCCAGAAGGGCTGACATAAATGACAGAGCCAGCATATAGACAAGTAAACTCAGACAATGAGTTCTCTGGTGTGACAGTGACCGAGGGAGGCAGCCACTTTATTCGTGGGTAAGGAAGATCAGCGGAGGAGTTGGCGTTGAAGCTGAGACAACAGATGACAGGAAGGAGCTAGCCATGTGAAAGTGGAGGCAAGAACATGCCAGGAAGAGGGATTACAAGACAGTGGGAAAGTCCTGAAGGGGAAAAGAGCTCAGCCTGCTTGAAAAAAATACAGAAGAAATAAACAGAGAGAAGGTTGGAACATGAGGAGAAAGTGACAGATGAGGAAACCATGGAGACAGGCAGGTCACAAGGCCTGGGGGCTTTCATTTTGTTTTAAGTATGATAGGAAGCCTTTGGCAGGACTTAGGTAGAGGAGTGACATGATCTGACTAATGCTTTTAAAAGCTCGTGCTATCATTTGTCAGTTTCTTACAAAGTTAAGCACATACTGAGCCTCTGCCCTAGTATTCCCACCCCTAGGTAATCACCCAAAAGAAATGAGAATGTATGCTCACTCAAAAACCAATGTGCACATGTTCATAGCATCTTCATGCACAGTTGCCAACAACTGGTAATAACCCCAATGTCCTTAAATGGTAGATGAATCAACATACTGTAGCATGTCTGTCTGATGGAACACAACTCAGCAATAAAGAAGGGTGAACTACTAATAATATGAAGCGACACGGATAGCTTCTAGTGTATTGCACAAGATGAAAGAAGCCAGACTCAAACCACTACACCCTTTAACATTCCACTCATTTGACATTTTGGAAAAAGAAAACTATAGGAGCAGAAAACAGACTGGTGGCTGCCAGGGGTTGGGAGGCAGGGAAGGAACTGACTACAAAGGGGCAGCATAAGGGATTTTTTGAGGGGGAGCGTTGGGACCCTTCTATAGCTCGACTGTGGTGTGGTTATACAGTTGTGTGCATTGATCAACATTTATAGAACTGGACACCAAAAAGAGTAAATGGTACTGTAAGTAAATACAAAAATAAATAAAAAGCTCATTCTGACTGTTATTCAGAAGTGCCAGGTAGAGGTAGAGAGACCAATTAGGAAGTCATTGAAATTGTTCAGGCAAGCTTGATGGCAAGGCGAACTAGGAATAATGACTTACATGCCCCAGGCAACTGTCCTCTATTCATCACCCAGTGAAAGGACAATACACCCTCCTTGAATTGAATGAGTAAAGTTCTTTATATAGCCATTTACAGCTATAAAGAAATGTTACTTTTTTTCCTGCTCCAACCTGATTGTTCTGTTTCCAGGAGAGCACGCCATCAACTTTTCCAACATCAATGTCAATAAAAGGCCCGTGGGGCTGCATCTGCCCTGTCCTCAGCCAACGTGATTAATCTCTCTGTGGGGGTAGACCTGCAGGTCTCTTCAATTTGTACCCACTCATTTGAAACAACATCTTTGAGGTTCATTGGGCTGGGCAAGGTTCATACAACCCAGGCAGGCCCTGCTGGAGAAGTCCTGACAAGAATAAGCATAAGCTCAGCCTTTGTTTTTCCAACTCTTAACACAGGTGCAATTCAATAAATGAAATGATACATTAACCCCCCAAAAATCCCATTAATGCCAAAAAGCACCCCATCACCCTCTTAAGCAAGCCTTCTTTCTTTCCAATTGTGTTGCATGGCATTGGGAATTCAAAACTTATTTAAAGAGTTCTCAGCAAGTGCTAGCCTTAATTAAATGACTGGAGTCAAAATTTAAGTACTGCTTTAACAAGCTCAATTTACATTTCAAGTAATTTTTGAAAACCAGGTTTCCAGATTAGAGCAACCACTTGATTATCTTTCCCCTTCCTAGCAATTAGGAGAACAAATGAAGCAATGGCTAGTTTAATGATAATCTTGAGGGCTCTTGTACTCACTAATTTTAGATTTGAAGGGTAGGGAGAGTCTTCAGATGAATAATCATTAAATGTAGAAGTTCTGGACAGAAGGATTTCAGAAATGTGCAATAAAATGAGTGGTGCCGTTTGCTCCCAGAACTATGAAGAAGCATCTCAAAATAGTGCCAGAAGACCATGCAAAAATTCCCGCAAAAATTTAAGCACCTCCTATGGGTCCATCTAGGTACTAATAGCAACTGATCTTTGATTGGAGAATCAATCGTTGCCTCTCAATCATAATTGCTCCTGCTCAGAAAAGCTTGCTTGACCTAGCAGAGAAAGATGTCTCTAATCCTGACCTAGGTACATGAATCAGAAGGTGGGGCTGTCCTTGATCACTTCCACTCCCCATCTCCCCTTCGGTCAATCCCAAAGTCCTGTGGATTCTACCTCCTGAACGGTCCTTGACTCTGTCCACTTGTTTCCAATCTCCTGTTCTAAGCCACTATCATCTCTAACTGTGCAATGCAATAGCTTCCTAACTGGTTGTTGTTTTTGTTTTCCTTCCAACTCTTTAAATCATTCTTCCCACTGCAGCAAGAGCAGCCCTTAAGAAATCCAAATTTGATCATGTGAAACTTTTCAGTGGCTTCTATTGGCCTTTGGGTCAAATCCCAACTTCTTGCAATATGGCAGAGACAGTGACACACACCAGCTCTTCCAAGGGTTCCTCTATACGTCTTAGTTGACCTGAAGTCAGGTGGGGCTATGGGTCAGGCCAACGAGCTGAGTGGAAGTAACAATTGCCACTTCTGAGCCGAGGAACTCAGTTGCTGATACATAACTTGCTCTTCCTCATGCTTCCCCCACCCTGGAAATGAGGAAGCCCATATGTTACAGATGGTGCAGCTACAAGATGGCCCAGCCTTACTAGTCCAGATTCCTGAGTGCCTGTGTCAACAGAGCTACTCGCTGTTCTGCTCTGAACACGCAAGGTGGGTGAGGAATGACATTTTCTTTGCTAAGCTACTGAGAGTGTGATGTTGCTTATTACGGCAGCACGAACTAGCCTATGCTGATTATGCCTGATGGTTTTGAAAGGCTTCTGCGATATGTCTCCCACTTACTTCTCGGCTTCATCTTTTGTTACTCTCCAACTCTCTTCTTTTGGTTCCTTGGCTGTACCACCCTTCCCCTTCCTATAGGACTTTTGCACAAGCTACCTAAAATGTTCTTCCCTCTATACTTATCTGTCTAACACCAGTCATCAGACCTTAGCTTAAGTGGCATTTGCTGACCTCCTGCCCAGGTAAGTTGCACATCAGAACCCCCTGAGAGTCTCCTCTCCTTCAGCCTGGAATTCTGTCTGATTTGCCAGTCTCTGAGAGTAGGGTCCATATGTGTCTTGCATCCTTAGAACTTGGCACAGGACCTGGTACAGCAGGTACTCGATGAAAAATTAATTGGATGACTAAATATACATTTAGGACAGTGCTGCACTGAATGACTTGTTCTCTAAATTTCTTCCTAGTAGTTCTGACTACCTTCCAAATAGTTTTTCTTTTTTTTTTTGAGTTGGAGTCTCACTCTGTTGTCCAGACTGGAGTGCAGTGGCCACTTCCAGCCATCGCAGCCTCAACCTGCTGGGCTCCGGCAATCCTTCCACCTCAGCCTTCCGAGAAGCCGGAATAACAGGCACGTGCTACCACGCCCAGCTGATTTTTTTGATTTATTGTAGAGATGAGGTCTTGCCAAGTTGCCCAGGTGGGTCTCGAACCCGTGGGCTCAGGCAATCCACTCACCTCAGCCTCCCAAAGGCGCGGGATGACAGGCTGAGCCACTGAGCCCGGCTCCAAATGGCTTTTCATTCACCCACTTGTTAGGCTAATTTTTTAAAAAGTAGATTATCTGTCAGTGCTACACTGCCTGTAACATACAAGCAACACAACAATTGGGAGTTCAGAGAGGAAAGAGGTCACTGAGCGTTCAATGAATTGCTGGAATTGTATGGAGAAAGTGGTTTTCTATCTGAGTCTTGTAAAATGAGTGAGACCTGAATAGGTAAAGAGATTGGGTGGTGATACTTGGAAGCACTCCAGTGGAGAAAAAACATTAGAAATGGGAATATCATTTAGTAGAGACAGCAAGAAGACCAGACTCTGTGGGTCGTTCCTCCATTCCTTCCTTCAACAGCTCCTCCCACTGGCACTGATGGAGTAGACTGGATATGGAGAACCATGAGAGCTGTATGATGCTCTGGTATATCATTATAAAGCAGTAAAGCAGTAAAGACCTGCTTTAGTTCCTATGATTGGAAGAACTGCTCTCTTGTCCCCAGTTATGCCTCTGTTCTGTTTCACCCTACCCGCCTAGAGGGCAGACAGCACACCCTTTACTTCTTTCGTAGCTCACCACTACTCATTTGTGATGCTTTATGTGTGGTAAGCACGCAGTAAATGCAGTTAAACAATGAAACCTCTTTTTAAAATTTGTAATGACTTGCTCCAAGCTAGGATGAGACTCAAGGTTAGTGAGGTTAGGGACTACAGGTTATTATTATTATTATTATTATTTATTTTTTTGAGTTGGAGTCTCACTCCATCGCCCAGACTGGAGTGCAGGGGCACGCTCCCGGCTACCGCAGCCTTGACCTCCTGGGCCCCGGCGATCCTTCCGCCTCAGCCTTCCGAGTAGCTGGAACTACAGGCATGCGCTACCACACCCGGCCAATTTTTGATTTATTGTAGAGATGAGGTCTTGCCAAATTGCCTGGGTGGTCTTGAACCTGCAGGCTCAGGCAATCCACTCACCTCGGCCTCCCAAAGTGCTGGGATTACAGGCTGAGCCACCGAGCTCGGCCTATTATTATTTTTTGAGTCAGAGTCTCACTCTGTTGCCCAGTGCAATGGCATGCCTACAGCCACCATAGCCTCGACCTGCTGGGCTCAGGTGATCTTCTACCTCAGCCTTCCAAGTAGCTGGAACTATAGGTGTGTGCCACCGCGCCCAGCTGTTTTTAAAAATTTATTGTAGAGACGAAGTCTCACCATGTTGCCCAGGCTGGTATCGAACCTGTGGGCTCAGGCAGTCTTCTTGTGTCAGCCTTTCAAAGTGCTGGGATTACACCGCTCCCGGCAGGTTATGTTATTATACGGGAGAAATAGCCTATAGCATGTTTTCTTTCTTTTTGTAAAAGTGGCTTAAAAAAAAAAAGAAAGAAGTCATAAACATATGTTTATTTCAAAAGATTTAGAAAACCCAAGTTGGCAGAAGAAAATGAAAATCATCTACAATCTCATATGTAAGTGATCATAACATGTTAACATGATGGTACATATCCTTCTAGTCCTTTTCCCATTTATATACACACATATACAGTGGGTGCCAGACAAATGTACACACATTTTAAGAGATGTTATCTGTGTATTACTTTTCAAAGTGGAATTAAATTATGCTAGCAATGTGTAGTATGCTGTTTGCTCAACTATGCTTCTGCCATTTTGACTGTCCTGCCTGTCACATGGTGATGCTAGCATTTATTTGATTAATGCCATCTTTTTCAGTGAACACCATACACTTAAAAGTGTATACATTTTTTGGTATCCCCTGTATATTTATAAAACTAGTTTCATATGGTTCAGCTTATTTTTTTTTATTGTGGTAAAAACACATAACATAAAATTTACCATCTTAGTCATGTTTAAGTATATAGTTCAATAGTGTTAAGTATATTCACAGTTATAAAACAGATCTCCAGAACTTTTTTATGTTGCAAATCTGAAACTCTATGCTCATGCTTTCTTGTTTTTTTAACTTAACAAATAGGTCACACATCTTTTCGTAATAGTAAGCACTTTATGACACTGAATGTTATTCTCAAACATTATTTTTAATAGGTATGTATTTTTCCATAATCACAGTTAAAAAAAAAACTCCCCCAAAACAAAAATGAAATCCTTATTGTTGGACAGTTAGATTATTTCTGGTTTTTCATCATTGCATGTGATCACCTTAATGTTACGGTGAACACTTTTGCACATTTTGTACATATTTCCTTATTTAAATGTTTCCTTACAGTAAAATCTCACGTGGAATTGCTGACTCAAAGGAGGTACCATTTTCAAGATTTTGCTTTTGTTTTTGTTTTTTGAGTTGGAGTCTCACTCTGTCGCCCAGACTGGAGTGCAGTAGACGCTCCCGGTCACCGCAGCCTCCACCTGCTGGGCTCCAGCAATCCTTCCGCCTCAGCCTTCCAAGTAGCTGGAACTACAGGCCTGCGCTACCACGCCTGGCTAATTTTTGATTTATTGTAGAGATGAGGTCTCACCAAGTTGCCCAGGTGGGTCTCGAACCTGCGGGCTCAGACAATCCACTCACCTTGGCCTCCTCAAGCGCTGGAATTACAGGCTGAGCCACCGAGCCTGGCCCATTTTCAAGATTTTTAACATGAGTCTGAGTTTGCATATGAGAAATTTCTCCAATGTACACCCCCATTAGCAGAATGGAAAAGGTTCATTTCCCCGTACAGTTGCCAGAGCTGGGTATTATTATCTGGCATCTCTTATTTTAGAGACTCCAGTTAGTTCTGCAATAAGCTTCATGTCAAATAGGACTTTCTCTCAGGCATTACTGTGTACAGATGTATTTCTGAGAAAGCCTGAATCAGATGTAGACTTGATACTCACTCACCTCTACAAACAAGATGGGGAAGATGCCTACTTTATCTCCTAACTTGCCTTCTGCCCAGTTCTCGTCTACTCGGCTGATCACGGTGATGATGTCATCCTGAAAGAGAACGTCTCACAGTCAGCATTTTCTCTCAGCTTTCAGGAGGTATAAGCTTTCACTGGAGACCAGTTTGGATTCCCAGATGGTATAAGGCACAAGAAATGTAGCTCATGCATCATTTATTTAGGAAATATTTCTGCTACAATGAACTTCCTCCCTAAAGGGCAATATGTAGGTCACACGCTCATAAGGGGTGTAGAAATAATTTGAAGGATCAGTGAAATCCAATAGGAAAACTTGGAAACGTTTCCAATTTTTAATCAACAATTTTCACTTACATTAATCAGATGGAGAAATAAAATGGAAGCCATAGGAAGACACACTTTTAGCTTAGCAAAAAGAAGAATGAATTTTACTCTCATTTTGCAGATTTCAGAACCTATTCAATTTTTAATATATCAGACATAAAGAAGCTTTTTATTCAAATTTTTCTTATTACAAAATGTTATACGTAAATTTGTAAAAACATTTGAAAACACAGATAAACAAAACAAGGAAACAATTCTCCCACAATATAGATACAGCCATTGTTAACAGCTTGATTAACACATTTTCCCCAGATTATTTTCTATCAAGATAAAACAGATATACACACAAAGGGGGCCCCTCAAAAAGCCCAGAATTATTTTTTTGGAAGACGGGCCTCTTGTAATACAGGCTTCCCCCGCTAGGTAAGTGTTCTAGGAACCTACCGGTATCAGTGTACCCGCTGGTGCTGTTGTGAGAGGCTGCACTCGGCTTCAGGATTTTTTTTTTTTTTGGAGATTCTTTCAGTGTGTTTGAATTTCATGATAGGTGATTTATGAGCGTATCTGCCTACACCACACTGAGCGCTCAACAGTTTTTGACCAAAAATAGCATGAACCCCATGTCTCACCTTCCCTATGTACCCGATCTCGTCCTGAGTGACATTTTTTTGTTTCACTGGATGAAAAAAGAGCTCAAAGGGAAATATTTTGCCCGTATGGAAGAGGTGAAACCAAAAACGGCAGAAGCACTAAAAAGACATCAAAATTGACAAGTCCAGAAACTGTTTTGAGCAGTGGAAAAAGTGTCTCGATAGGTGTATGGCATCAAATGGAGAATACTTTGAAGGTGACTGAAATTTAAACATGTAAGAATAAATACACAGTTTTTTATAACTAAATTTCATCTTTGTGCATCCTCCCTCATATAGACACACAGATTTTTTAGAAACCTTTCCAAAAACATACACACATGCATACAATAAAGGGCATAAATCTTAGATGTAAGGCTTGAGGAGTTGTTACATTTGAACATATCCCCAAAACTCCTACTCAGATCAGAATCTAGAACATCTCCAGCACCCAGCAGACCCCTGGTGCTCTTTCTCACCACCTAGAAGAGGTGACCACTATTGTGACTTCCTTCCTGTTTTTGAACTTCATACACATGAAGCCATACAGGACACATGGATTCTTTTCCTTAGTACCAATATCAGGGACACCTTTCCATGTCATACATGCTCATCTGCTGAAACCTATATCTTCATCCACCGAAGACCTTGGGATCTCTCTGATCTCCTGTTCCATGCTTCTCAGTAATTTACATTCGTCCAAACCTCCATTAACTACTTCATTCTAACTTTTCTTTGCTTCCTCTTACGCATTTGCAATTATACGTTTCTACCTATATTATTAACATTATTTGGGACTGTCTACTCTATAGGACCATGAATTCCATGAGTGCAGGGCCTGTGTCTATCTCCATTGTCCCCATCACCTAACAGAGTGACTCCCCTTCAGGGGTCTTCTGGTAAATGTTTCTCGAATGCCTGCATGCATGAATGAATGCATGAAGCATGAATAAATGGTACAATTTACCGAGTCAGAAAGCACCAGGAAAGAGCAGCTTTGGGAGGGAAGAGTTTGAGTTTAATTTGGACATGTTGAGTTTGGGCAGACCTTGAGACTCCTAGGGATGCCTTAGCATTTCATACATATCCGGAATTAATCAAACGCTCTCTTCTGGTTTCTTTGACATAGTTCCCATTGATCTGTCTGTTTCTTTCACTAGACTGCCAGCTCTGTGAAGGTAGGGACTGTGGCGCATCACTTTATCCTTAGTGGACAGCTGGGCACATGGAGGGGTTCAAGGAATGAATGGACACGTGGAGTAAGAGTCCTGGTTTGCAAATTCCCAGAGAGAGTCGCAGAAGCAGATGATGCTCCCTGCTTATGTTCTCCTCCAGCAGCGTCCCCAGAACTTGGTGTGCAATGCCTGGCACAAAGTGAATACTCGAGAAATGTCTGTGGGATTGAACTGACCTCCCTCTAATCATAGTCTAGATCTAAATGTTGCTGTCTGGGCTGTACAATGACTTTCCTTGGGACTCTCTCTCTGAGGTGCCAAGACAATACTAAAGATTATTATTTCAAATACGGAGGACAGTGGGGTTATCTAGACTGAGGGAATCTGAAGTAAATCTCATTTCTGGTAGCGGTGGCATAAACATGTTTTACAAAAGACCTTTCCTGAGCGATTGCAGCAGTGCCACTTTTTGTACTTACACTTGATCTACTTACCATAAGTAACAAAGAATGGAAACAACTCCAATTTTGGTTTCCATAAGAAATGTGGATGTTTAAGAAACGATAAATAGCAAACAGAGAGAGTTAAAATTGTCTAGACTCTAGTCGAGCTCTCATATCTCACAAACAGTGGAGAATTATCCAGTGGAAAAGAGAGGCCAAAAAATGTTTAGGGCAATTAATGTGTTGGGAAAATATTTCTTATAAGAGGTTATTTTTGGATAAAGGTATGATTATGTTACTGTGTATCGTCTGAAGTGTTTCAAATGCTATGTTTACAACAAAATAGAACGTGGCATATGAGTAGAATTAGATGACCGTAACTTATTCAGCAAGATTATCCACACAGATGCATGATAAAGGAGAAGGAGCTGTAGTTTTGAAGAGCATGATATCACGCTGTTTGCAATTTTCTGTCCATGTTTTCTTTTCTTCCTATTATTCTGCCAGGAGAGCAGGGACTGTGACTTGTTTGTGCTCTATCCCCAGGGCTTACAAAGAGTAAGGGCTCAAAAATGATTGTAGAATGAATGAATGAATGTGTGAATACTTGTTTTTGTAATCATCATAGAAAAGGCCTAGGGACTTTTATCAAACTCTTCTCAGCAGATCTTTCTAGACATGTCATTTCCCTGTATGTAGTTTGAATTCTATGTGCACATTGCATATATATACATACACACATATACACTTTCTTCTATAGTTTATGTATGAAATATACAGAATTGTAAAAAACGAGCAGTATCAAACAAACAGCTCCGGGCCTGCCACAGTCTCTGTGTGGTCCCTGGTGACCGTGGTGGCTGCTCTGAATCTTACCTTGAGGAAGGTCAGGCAATCCTGGTTCTCACTCTTGTCTTTGTCCCGTAGGTCAAAGTTGTAGAGCGCCCTGCAGAGTGGGGGTGGCGGAGGCAGCTGCTTGATGACCTCCACGGAGCTGGCTGGGAAGATCCCGCTGGCACCGTTGACCTCTCCCTGATACCAATTCTCATCAAGCTGTCTCCGGAGGAGGATGACATCTCCCTTGTTAAACTTCAGGTCACCAGGATTCTGCCCTCTGTAGTTGCGCAAGGCCTTTGCTCGAGGCACCTGCAGTGGCACAGACCAGCAAAGTGTGTGCTTAGCTTCTAGGCTGAATAACGAATGAGTGAGAACTTACATATGTCAAGTATGCATGCGGATCATCTCCAGGTAAATTTTTGACACAGACTCTCATTATTCCCATTTATAGGATAGAGAGACTGAGGCACAGAGTGGTTTGCATAAGGTGACACGGCTGGGGAATGGCCGATATGAGATCTGAACTCAGACTACCTTATTCTAGAGCCCTTGTTCTTAATCAGTGGGCCAGGAACAGGGTTTTGAGTTTGACTCCACAGCTATGTGAACTTGAGTGAGTCGGTGACTCTGGGTCTGAATATTGATTGCGAATTCTAGCTCTGTCTCCTTTCACTTGTGTGATCATGGTCGAGTTATTTGATCTTTTTTAGCTGTATTAAATGAAGAATGAGTCGAATGCCCACCTCATCTGGACTATTGTGAGATATAAGTACTAGTCACGATGCATCAAGCCTCTTGCCTAGCACACAGTACGTGCTCCATAGATGGCATCCTTATCACCATCACTCACAATGGGGGGCCAGTGACGACCTGCTCCCCAGTGGTGATGGGAGGAAAGCAGAAAGTGCCAGATGAGTGAGGCATCGGAATTTGTCTTCAGCCTTCTCTGGAAAGGGCAAGCCTCATAAGAGTCTGGATCATTAGGAAACTCAACTGAGACATTAGCTGGGCGTGATGGCACACGCCTGTAGTTCCAGCTACTTGAAAGACTGAAAAGGAAGGATCGCCTGAGCCCAGTAGGTTGAGACAGCAGTGGCCATGAGTGTGCCTCTGCACTCCAGCCTGGGCAACAGAGTGAGACTCCAACTTGAAAAAAAGAAAGAAAAAGGAAATATGAAAAGATAAAGATGAAAGAATCCAAGTCCTCTGGCTTTATATAACAATGATGATACCAATAACTAATATTTATTGGGTGCTTTTTCCTACGTGCCAGATACTTTGCTAAGCAAAGTATATTTTATTTAATTCTTATAACAACATTTGAGTTGTGTATTATTTCTTTTTTTATTATTTGGAGCTGATTTATTGATTGATACATTAAAAATAAAGCAAATAAAAATATCAACAAACAAAAGTGGAAAGAAAATGTTGTAGGAAAGAAATAAGCCACATAATGCTTTTTGCTTATATAGTCATCATGAAGTAAATATTACACAATGATCTCAGAATCATGGCTGATTTTTTTTTTTTTTTTTTGAGTTGGAGTCTTACTCTGTCGTCCAGACTGGAGTGCAGTGGCCGCTCCCGGCCACCGCAGCCTTGACCTGTTGGGCTCCGGCGATCCTCCCACCTCAGACTTCCAAGTAACTGGAACTACAGGTACGTGCTACCACGCCCGGCTGATTTTTTTGATTTATTGTAGAGATGAGGTCTTGCCAAGTTGCCCAGGCGGGTCTCAAACCCGCGGCTCAGGAAATCCACTCATCTCAGCCTCCGAAAGGCGTGGGATTACAGGCTGAGCCACCGAGCACAGTTATCATGGCTGATTTATACCAGGAGAGCAGTGATGAATGGTCTGCCCTGGGGTGTGTGTATGCTATGCAGAGGGTTGTACTTGTTTATTTTTCAAAGGGGGAATCAGAAGATACTATAGATAGCTGGAAAATTTAGAAATAATGGAATATAACGATATTTCTAAACATAAAAATGAATACTAAAAGACACAGTTGGAAGACTTAAAGATATTACCTCAGGGGATCAAAAATTGGAGGTAGGAAGATACTTTCTTAACTAAGCAAAAACAACGGTTTGACCTTTTAAACTAGGTAAGCATATCTCTTCAATAAAAATTCTTTAAATTTTTATGAAAGTGAATAGAATCTCAACAGGGAAAGCTAAGGAAATGAATTAGTCTGGTTATTGACAATTTACCTACAGTAAATTCATGTCCCGTAGTCCAGGTGCAAGGTGGGTGGTAGCTCGATCAAAGCATGTGTGCAACTAGAGGTTGTTGAGGTGTGTATTATTTCTTTTTTTTTTTTTTTTTGAGTTGGAGTATCACTCTGTCGCCCAGACTGGAGTGCAGTGGTCGCTCCCGGCCACCGCAGCCTCGACCTGCTGGGCTCCGGCGATCCTTCCGCCTCAGCCTTCCAAGTAGCTGGAACTACAGGCGCGCGCTACCACGCCCGGCTGATTTTTTGATTTATTGTAGAGATGAGGTCTCGCTGCCCAGGCGGGTCTCGAACCCACAGGCTCAGGCAATCCACTCACCTCAGCCTCCCAAAGGCATGGGATTACAGGCTAAGCCACCAAACCCGGCTGAGGTGTGTATTATTTCTAATTCCGACTTTCATATTAGGAAACAGGGGATCAGAGAGGTTAAAAGTTGCTCAATTTGCAAAGCTAGAAAATGGTGAACTTAGGATTTGAACTCAGGTCCAGCCCCAAGCCCAAGTTCCACTAAACTTGTGTTTCTCAAAATAAACTGTGTGGTTATCTGTATCAGAACCCTATGGGATACTGAAACTGCAGATCCCTGGACCCCATCCCCACGTGGGATTTAACAGCTGCATTTTTATCCAGCTCCTTCACCATCCAGGCTTGAGGTTAAGATGTGAGCTGCATCTTATTCTAATTCAAATGGGGCCAATGAATGGAGTTTTCACGCAGACTTTGCAAGTGCTAACCTGCTTTCTTTCTTTTTTTCTGGAAGGTATTTTCCGTGCAAGGGGCTTACATATTTTAAGGACGACTGAGAGAGTATATTAAATGAAAATTTCACAAAATGCTTAAACTCCTCTGAAGATGCCAACACTCTGAAACCCTGAGATCATACGAATTGCCTCGCTATTTTCATCTATTTGCCGTTCCCCCTCCATATAAGTAAATCTTGCAGAAGCAAATTATAAGTTCTGTTTTTCACACGGAGACCCTCTCTATCTTCTTTCTCTTCATTTTGGATCATCCCTCCCCTGGCATTCTCATTCTCACATTCATTCTTAGAGAAAACACTGGCTTCCGTGGCGCAAAGAGGGCGGAAAGAATGAGGGGAGGGAGAGAGAGAGAGAGAGAGAGAGAGAGGGAGAGAGTATGTGTGTAGGGGGTGGCAGGGGGGCGGGGGGGGGGGGCAGGGTGGCGGGGATGACTCTGGGGAGGAAAAGAAAGGGATGCTGATTGGAGCTCTGCTGTCACAGAGAGCTTGCTTGTTACATGACTGCACAACTGCGCTTTCCAAGAGTCTTATCCATGAAGGCAGTAGTATTACCCTATTTTATGGATGAGGAAACAAGTTCTGAGATGGCCCGTGTCCACAGACAAGGTCGCCCAGTCCATGTATGGCAGGCCCAAGACTGGTCGAGGCTCCTTTGACCTGGAAACCTCCCTGTCTGCCATCCAGTTAAAGCCACCTATAGGATGTTTTTCATCATGAAGCTCATTTGGGACACGGTTTCGTCATCAGAATCTGAACAGAGTGTAAATGCAATGTGCTTGCTCTGACTGTGTTGGCATGACTTGTTGAACTCCCAAGGCCTCGTGCACCTGGAGAGACCCAGCTGGTGGGCTCTACCGGCCCGCCACTGTTCTCTGGAAGGAAAATGGCTCCAAATTCCACATCAGCTCTCACCCATTGCATTGTTGAGAACAGTTTTCAACCATTCATCTTTGTTTTATTCTCCACAGGTGCAGGGGTGAGAAAGTGTGGGGATAAAGTGGGTGGGGAGTCTCACAGTCAGGTCATTACCAGACTCTTCCGCCTTGTGGGCCTACAAAGGGTTCCTTTTCTGAGATTCAAATGCTCAGGACTTCTAGCCGGGTGTAATGGCTCATGCCTGTAACCCCAGGACTTCAGGAGGCCAAGGTGTGAGGACTGCTTGAGCCCAAGAGTTCTAGACCAGCCTGGGTAACATAGTAAGAGCTTGTCTCTACAAAAAAATAAAAAAATAAAAATAGTTGGGTGTGGTGGCATGCACCTGTAGTCCCAGCTACTTGGGAGGCTGAGGTGGGAGGATCACCTGAGCCCAGGAGTTGGAGGCTGCTGTGGTGAATTATGATTGTGCCACCCCCACTGCACTGCAGCCTGGGTGACAGAGGGAGACTCTAACTCAAAAAAAAAAAAAGTTCAGGACCTGTATGCTCCTGTAATTTGTCTATTCATTTGTCTTCTCAGTAGGGTCTGAAAGCCATGAAAGACATGATTTTGACGGAATGATAATGCACAGGACCCAAAATACAAGCTGCAGACACTTCAGTGTACAAGTCTGTTGCTGCCTTGCCAGCAGCCCTTTCTCCCAGGTGCCTTCTGCACCGTCTGTATCTTCTGATAGGCAGGCTGTTCACTCTCACCAGGCCACACACACCACAGTCTGTGGCCCAGGCCGGACAGTTAGAGCAGCAAATCCCCCCATACAGTGACTGGTACAGGCAGGCATATGCCTCAGCTGGGGCAATTAGTATCTCCCCTCAAACTTGATATGCAGATGCTGAGGAAGAAGTTTTATTACTGTTGGATCATGAGACTTCAGGTTATGGGTCTTGGACCACCAATGCACTCTAGTGTAGTCCAACGTGGGGTAATAATATTGGTGTCATTTCCCACCCAGTGGACTCGTCTTCCTGAGAGAAACCGCAGAAGGGAGCAGAAAGAGATACAGCAAGCTAACAGGGATCTAGAGAGAGAGAGAGAGAGAGGGCCTTGGCTGACAGGGATCTAGAGCCTTCACCAAAAAAAAATCTGAATCCCAAGATTTAGCTGTGCCTGAAGGTCACTCAGTTAAATGAGGTCATATCCTCACTTTATTTATTATTACTTAAACTATTTGGGGTTCTTTTCTGACACTTGAAACGGAACAAGTCCTGACTAACACCTATTCAAAATCCAGAAACAACAAAACTCCATAACAATGACTTACCCAAATAGTAGAATTCAGAAACAGCAGGCTGTTCAGCTACAGTGAGCCCTGAGCTTACTTTCAATTTTACAAAATGAAGGTGGGTGTGGACTGATAACAGGGCGAGGAAAAGGAGCCCAA